TTCTGCTTACCTTTAAGTCACTCCATGGTCTTGCACCTACCTATCTCTCTGACCTGCTTTCTCCATATATTCCCTCTCGTCCACTTCGATCATCTGGAGTTGAACTTCTTTGTGTTCCGAGATTTCGCCTATTATCTATGGGAGGTAGATCTTTCTCTGCTATGGCTCCCAAACTCTGGAACACATTGCCCCTGGCTCTCCGGACAATAACCACACTCCACAAATTTAAGTCTAAACTCAAAACCTATATGTTCCACCAATATTACCTGTTATAATGTCATGTTAATGTTACCTGTTATAATGTTTTTTTTTGTTGTTATGATACTGTATTATTACTGTGGTATGCAACTGCAACCACATGTTCTGGACTTGGAAAATGTCTTGTCCGTGTATGTAGGAATGTATTTGTCATTGTGCCGTGTCCTTGAGCTTGGGAAAGGCGCTATATAAATTAAACTTATTATTATTATTATTATTATTATTATTATTATTATTAAACTTGATTTGTTTGCTTTTGATTGTATGTGATTCTTTAAAATGTGCAATCTAGTAGATCAAGAAGTAAAATGTTGAAATTAAGTATTATTTTATGGTGAGATTGTTTATGCTGCTTTACTGAAAGAGTAAGTAATGAGTAATTAATAATTAGCATTTAGAATGCTAATGTACTATTACTAGTAGTCAATTACAGTTAGTGATGGGAAAAAGCTTTTTTTTTTTTTACTTTAAATAAATGTAACCAGTTGCTTTGCGAAATGTTTCATCATCTCAAAGCACTCGAAATGCCATACACTAGTAATACCTGCTGGTCAGAACGGTGTAAATGTAGCATAAACACATAGCCTAAACATGCATAAAATCACCTTTTACAAACCAATTGCAAATGTTTTATTGAAAGTGCAATCTAAACAATATGAAGTGTCCATATAATGTTAACTTATTTTATTAAATTTTATGACTTGTTGTGTTTGTTTTATGGAGAGATTGGTTAATCTGGCTTTAAGAGACTATTAACTACAGCTCTTCCTTTTTATTATACAAATGTGTCATTAAAAACTGATTCGAGATCAGGTAAAAACTATATAGACGCTGGTTTGTGGGTTCACAGAGATCGACTACTAGTGGAGAACCTTTATAAAGTCTTTATAAAGTACAGTAACTAGCTAGTACAATCTTATAAATTAGTGAATGTGACAAAAATATATGAAACAGAATAAATTAAAAATAAAATAATCCTGTCAGGGACCATGTGAAGTTATTTTGAGACTATTTAATTGGGTCATTTAGAAATTACTTTTAACAAAGGTAAGGTAATCCAAATATTCCAAGCACATAGAAAATCTACATACTGTAGAATTAGTAAAAGTAGTGCGTTGGAATACTACAGTACATCAGGGGTGCTCAATCCTGTTTCAGGAGATCTAACTTTCTGCAAAGTTTAGTTCCTGCTCTATACAATGGTGCAGTTCTTGCTGTGGCAAACTGTTGGTTGCTCTTGCTCCGCCCCTCCTAGCTAGAGTGCACTAGCCAGAGTGCACTAGAATTCACTAGTGAGAGAACACTAGGTGAAGTTAATCTATTAATTAGCACGGCAGAACAGACTCCATGTAGAGTAGCAGTGGCTTGAACAAAAGAAAGATTCCTTTTGTGCAGAGTTAAGCCTACTACAACTAAATGAAGAAGCAGCCGGTGAGCTTTAATATTTTGTTATTTTTGTACTTGGGTGGTTTTGTTGAATTGTGTTGTATCTGAATATTATTTGTAATTTTTTTCGTATTAGTGTGATTTGTGAACTAGATCTGGTTTTCTATACGGAGAGTATATTTAGATTAAAAGCTATAAAAAGTAGGTGTTTAAAATCATTAATCATTAAAACCATTCATTTCAAAAAGCAATGCATTTAGTATATAAATGTTTAAATATCTGTTGTCTACTTACATGGTATTCGTTATGCTAATTAAAAAAAAAATAACACTTTGTATATAAGCTCTGCTTTGTATTTTTGATTGTATTTATTTGTGCTCTTACAGTGGTGTTTGTATTTGTGTCTAAAGGTTTTTTCACCTGCTTGACTAAATGACTGGCTGACTGATCACTGCATCAAAAAATTTGAAAAAAATAAAAGAAGGCAAAGTATGGTCAATGAGTGGAATCCGGTCGAATTCTTGTAGTATGTTGTCTTATCAAGTGGGAGAGTTCTGCACACTGAAACTTTGTAAATGGTGAATCCACTTGACAGTTCTATTCTCCTCATGTACCTGTTCAGCCTCTAGCTCCCTCTGCTGGATCCTCTGTGCCATATGATTCACCGCTTCAACTACAAATAGAAAAGCAAATGTCAATACAATATTCCTATCAATACACTAATCTTGCTTTTAGAACATTAACTAAAAAAAAAAAAAAAAAAATTCTTATGGAATTGCCTGGCAGCAACAGTAAATAACACAGATCTAAAAATGTATGCCAAAATAATTACAGTGCTTTATATAACATTTATTGATATACATTTAAATTCATTTTTGCAATGTTTCACAGTGGTCTCACATTTTTGCCTACGCCTCTTTAAAATGACTAAATTAGTTTGTTTCTTCACTGGAGCAGATTTGGATAAATGTAGAATTAAATTACTAGCTCACAAATAGATCCTCTGCAGTGAATGGGTGCCATCAGGATGAGAGTTCAAACAGATGATAAACACACCACAATAATCCACATGACTCCAGTCCATCAGTAAATGTCTTGTGATGCAAAAAAAAACTGTCTTTGTAATAAACAAATCAATCATTAATGTTTTTTTTTTTACTTCAAACCGTATAAAGTCCATCATTCATAATATTGCTTTCTCCAATGAAAATGTTGTCTCATCTGAATCAGGAGAGAAATATGCACAGATCAAGCACCATGTATAAAACAGTTCTAATAAGTCAGTGTATTTTGGATTCACTGGAGGAAGCATTTTTATGGTCTTAAATGTATTATATAAAAGTATTATTAATATCGCAAACACAGCTTTTTAATTAATAAGACGTTAATTAATTGACTTAAGTCGTGTTGATTACGTATGGATTATTGTGATGTTTTTATCAGCTGTTTGGACTTCTGACGGCACCCATTCACTGCAGAGGATCCACTGATGAGCAAATGATGTAATGCTAAATATATTTTGAGAAACTCATCTAAATCTTGGATGGCCTAAGGGTGAGTAAATTTTCAGCAAATTTTCATTTCAGGTGAAAAAGAAAACTATTTCTTTAATGCATTAGAAGATATTTATTTTTAACTATACTAACAAAATAGTGCACATTTAAAAAAAAAAAAAAATTCTTATTACACAATATTTATTAAACATTACACAAGATTTATTTAACATAAGTTTCTTTCCTGTCTGCATGTCCCTTTCCTCTTCATGTTGTGTCTGACACTTCATCACACTCTTTACTGTAAATGATGAGACTTACGTCGTGTGAGAGCGTCGCATAGTTTCTCATGCATACTCTCAGTGCACCGCGGCAGATCATGTTCATTTGTGTATGATGTCATCTTATTCAGATTTTCAAGCAGACGGCATTCTCTGAAAGCGCGCTTCTCCTGAGGGAACACAAACAATTCTAGTGTAAATTTGGTTGTAGTCAGTATGTCACAGCTCAAAGAACATACAAGTAAAAGAACAATGCCACCATGTTGGATGTACAGTACTATGTCCAGGAATGTATTTATACTAACTACACAACTGTATACCTAAAGAACACACTGCATTCATTAATTTAAAATGCAATTATCAAAATAAAGTTATGTAATAATCTCAAACTCCCTGATGAAGTATCTAATTTCTCCCTGCAAGACCGGCCTGTGATCAATCAGCCTGGACTGAATGTCACCAACATCTGTAAAGAAACAAATTAATATCACAATTAATAAACAAAAAGGTATCAAATTTAATAAGTTATCTAATGTACTTTAAACTACTTTCATTATATGCTAGGTTTATGTTAGGTGACAGTTTATCTAACATATATAATTGTCTTTACTATGAAAAATGTGTCTTTAATATTTAAAAAATGTCATTAGCTAAAATTAGTGGATAATATTTAAACGATCATTAGTTCAAGCAACCTGCAGTTAGAAAAGATCTTGAAACTTCAATTTTGGTGTGCAGTCAGCAGCATTTTTATTAATTTTAGCTGTGTTAACTGCAACGAAATACGTCTAAAATGCGTAAAACGTAAGAAAATTAACATAACAACCAACCTTTTACAATCTTCTCCATCATCACGAGATGCTGGTTAATCTGACAGCCTTACACGATGATATTTATTATTCTGCCAAATGTTTCCTATCCTCAACGTCTGATGATCGAGAAATGTTAATTAGTAAAGTCAAAGACTATAAGTGAAATGTTTCTTTGGAGAATTTGACAGATAGACGTGTGTGTCACATTCTTCAACGAGTCACGTGCAAACAATGACAGAAAATAACTCCAAAATAAAAGACAAAAGTCCCTTCAAGTTCAGCAACAGCCTTTTTGAGGTCACACGAAATTCGAGAAAACCAGTGAGTATAATTCGCAAATATAGGTATACATTAATTGCACATATTTTTGGTGTATATTTTCTTTATTTAATAAATAGCTCATCAAGCTCATGAAATGTCTTTCTTCTGTAGAACACAAAAGAAGAGATTATGAAGAACAGTGAAAGTCAGTGTTGTTTGGCCCTCAGTCAGTGTATGGAAAATAACAACAACATGAACACCAAGGGTGAGTAAATACATTTTACGGTTAACTACTTCTTTAATATAGCCTACAATATAAAAAAACAAAACAAAACTAATATTAATAAATAATAATTAATTCATGCAAATGGTAGTAGTACAGCTGTATAGTTGAACTAGACTGTATATGTCCATTTTGCTACCAGTGATGGTACCAACATTATCAAGATCAGGCCCCCTGGGCACTGAGACACATCTGCAGTGATAGTTGTTTATTATTAATAACTTATACTACTTTTTAATGCTAGCTTTATTATTATGCTAATTTTCTAAAATTATATTAAAGAGAAATGCACAGAAATCTATACAACATTTAACATTCTGCTATTTGTATTATTTCATTGTTTTGTGTTATAGAACAATACCTTTTGGTTTGAAGAGGTAGAAGTCGGCATGATATGTATTAAACACCTGAGACTGAATGTAGAGATTTGCTAATGCCTAACAGTTGCAAACAGACGTCAAGGTTTGGCAGAAAGCAGTTCATTGAATTCAATACATACTCTGAAAGTATGGGAACTCTGACGCAGCCATACACTTTATTACAGCATTTTATTTATTCATTTTAATAGCAAGTGTCAGAATAAAAGGTTATATAATAAAACCAGACCTTCCTCCAATTCCCCACACAAAGTATCTGATTTCTCCCTACAGCGCTGGCCTATGATCAATGAGGCTGGACTGCTTTCTGCTTTACAAAGCAGGGTGTGGGATAATTCATCAGAACATATTACTTTTTCCAGGTTTTGCTCCTTGCATTATGTGTCTCCGTACTATTGCCTTAAATACAAGTGATTTTGCAGCGGCAGCCCGGCCATAAATTCCAGCCTGGTCAAGCCCAGTACTCTGTAAGTACACTCTAGTTTTGTGAAATGTAGCAGCTGTTCTTTCTGTCCCTGTATATGAGTGCTGAACATACTTCTTGTTAATCATTCAATCTGTGCATAAGAACATCAAATGTCCACTGTGAGTTGTATTCTACGGATCTTTAATTGGATTTCAAGAAAACCTTTTATACAAGCTCCTGCATCAAAAACCTCATATTACAGGCAGTGTTTTATCTACCTACTATTAAAATATCTGACACATATCTGTTTATTTATATTTCTATATTATTATATGTTTACGCTCTCCTTTATTAAACAACTAGACTAAAAAACTGGCACTAGATGGAGACAAAGCATTACTTTTAGCTATAAGAAATCTTCTAAAGCTCAGATGGAGACATGATTTTGAATACTTTAATTGTGACTAAACCATGAGAGAGATATAACTTTAATAACCAATGAACACTCTGTATCATATTATCACA